GTTGGCTCTGCCCATGGAAACCTCCCGTGCAACAAAACTGCCCGTGGCCAGGGCCACCTGCCCGGCCCAGGGGAACAGCCAGTCCCCCTGCACGAGCCCTGCCTGGGTGGCCATGGTGACAGAGTGTACACAGAGGGCGTGGGGCTGACCCACGGCACGGGCTGGGGACACTCCGACCCCAGGGAAGAGCTGGGACACTCCTCGGGAACCATCCCCAGGGGAATGTCTGCCAGGAGCACCTGCTGGGGGCTCTGGGGGGGAAATCCAGAGGGAAGCAGCTCTCCATTTTTCCCTTTCCATCACGTCTTTTTCAGCATTTCATTCCAAGTGCAGGATGACTGCAAGGTAAGCTGCTTGGGGGTAAGTCCTGACTTCCTTTTGTGCATTTTAACACTGAGGTGTTCATGGGTGAAGGCTGGCAAAGTTGATTAATTTGCAGGCAAACTTATCCTTGTAACCTCACAGACTCTGTCTCGTTCCTTATTTAGCTTGATAAATCTCCATAAAATTGTTTTATCCCGTTATTAATTGCATACACATCTGATAGACACAGGGCATAATTGATTCTAACTCCTTGCAGAATTGATTCTAACTCCTTACAGAACTGATTCTCACTCCTTACAGAATTGGTTCTCACTCCTTACAGAATTGATTCTCACTCCTTACACACACTCAGTGTGCTCTGCAGAGCAGATTTACTGATTTCTTTAGCTACCAGAAATTAGTGCAAAAGGTTTGAGTGGCCTCCTGACAGCATGATCTGTGTTCCTGTATTTTTTTGGGGGGGAATGAGTGAAATTCTGTCATCCTGAAAACCTTTGAGTGGCAATTGCATGAATCCCAAATTACAGCACATTAACCCAAGTGCCCAGCTACAAACCAGATGTGATGTTATTCACACTGATTATTTTATCTTGACCCAAAATTGCAGCTGTATTTGCCTTTCCACCTCTGGACACAGCTCCCAGCAAGGACTCCATGCCAAGGTTTTCTCCATTGTGGTGCAGGGTAATAATTTATGGTTTAGTATTTAATTGCTTTGTCTTTGCACTCTAGAAATTATCTTTGTGTTGCATTCATTGCAGTTTTAATTATTAAGCACAATTAATTTGTGGTATAAAGACTTTGTATTTAGTAGAATAAGGGTGATGTGACCAATGCTCTTGATTATTGTCAATTCCTCATTATTCTAAAAGCAAGAGTATATTCATATAATTATTGGCAGTGCTTTCTTTTTGTTCTAGGTTTGAATTCCATGAGCCCCTGAGCAGTGCTTGGTTTGTAGGCAGTGTAATTAGCTGATTGTACCCCCTGCTCCACAATCACTAACTCCACTGCCATCAAAACAAGGCACAGGATTCCCTGCTCCAACCTCAGGCCAGAAAACTTCACTACAAATCCTCCTCACCCTTACTCCCAGTGCAAAATTAGTAATATTTATTCATTTGCAGCTTTATTTCCAGAATTTTACCTGTCCAACAGAATTGTATGTTGGTGGTATCAAGTGAAATCTTACTTTTCTTGAAGCTGGTGCTAAAATCCTTGGGACCTTTCCTGGACCTGTCTGTTGTGTTTAAATTGATTATTTTAATTGCTTATGCCCCAAGACTGGACTAAGAATTTATTTTGGTTGCATCCTTCAGATATTGGGGAAAAAAAATTGTATATACTTTTCATGTTTTATTTAACAGTCCAGTAAGTGAAGGGAGGTTTTAAGCAATGATTAAATATTAAACTGGCTGGATGGATAAGTGATTTTTACTCTGACCACTTGGCTTAACGTTCAGGAATTTGAATAATAGTGCTGGAACCTCCTGTGGGAGGGTTTGGTTTTTTTAAACAAAATCCCAGTTTTCATCCAAGAAGGGGTTGGAAGGCTTTCCATCAGCCTGGTTACCAGGCAGTGTAGTTAGCTGATTGCCTAAAGCAACAATCACTAGCCACACAGCCAGGTAAAAAGGTGTGCAGGATCATCTCCGTGGAAATCAGGCACGTGGCAATTCTGGTGGCACGAGGCAGGCTGACCTCCTTGCAGAGGGATCTGCAGGACAGGGACTCAGGCAAGGGGAATGTGCTGGATTCCTGTCCCAGCAGGAGACCCCAGTTGTACTGGGGGAAGCACTGGTTTGCTCACAGGACACTGGAAAGCAGGAGGACAAAACAAAGGGTGTTTTCTCCTCCCCCTTGGCAGCCCTCAGCTCCCATCCTGACCCTGCTCCTCTCTCACAGCCCAGGGCTTCTGTTCTCACATTTACCTCCATTTATTCCCCTTGAACAAATAAAATTGTGGCCTGTGGTGGCAACTCTTTGGGGGCTCGAGCCTGAACCTGAGCGAAAAACTCCTGAAGGCAGAAACTTCTGCTGGAGCCTCTGGAAAATCAGTGTTGCCCCCAGCCATCAATACAATTCACACGAGCAAAGGAAACTGAGACAACCACCACGAAGTTCTGTGATAACATTTCCAGCCTGACTCTGCAATTTTTTTTTTTTTTTTTTTTTTTTTCTAATTTTAGCCAAGTCTTCCCCGTTTTTTACTGAAAAGCCTGCAGCCTGGGGGTGGGAAGCAGGCCAGACAAGAGCAATCTGTGAGAGGTGCAGAGAGGTGCTGAGCTCTGCAAGTCTTTCCTGCAAGTCAGCAAACCCTCCTTTCCCTATTAATAATTCCAAAAGGCATCCCATCCATTACCATCAATTAGTCTGCTTTCTGAATTCTGGCTGGAGCCAGCAACAGTTCCCTGAATCTCACATTCTTTTTTAATTTATTTTTTTTTTTAGATTCAGTAACAACAGATGAGAGCCAGAGTTTGCAGCCATAGAGATGACTGATTGATGGCACTGAATAAATCACTTTATACAACTACAAGCCTCACATAAGTCTAAAAGAAATTAAAATGAATGCACTGAGTGAAATAAGAATAATGTTCAGATTATTATCAGTCATAGGTGTCACACAGTGCTCAAATCCAGACTTCAGGCTTGATCCAGACGTGCTGTTCCTGCATCCCTGGAAGCTCTGTTGTCTCCACAGTGATGCAGGGGCAGGGGATTATCCACCAAATTCCCTAAGCAAGGAGGATCCTGTAAGCTGTGGGACACTGAAAGTCCAGCCCAGACAGCAGGAAGCAAAAAGTGTATGAGGTAAATGAAGTTGAGGCCAGCTAAATATAGTTATTGGACAATTTTCAACCCCAAAACCACAAAGATAAGAGAGTGTGTCTGAATTTCTCAGTTCCATGTGCCAAAGGGATCTTCACAGCCTGGCCACTGTTGGTAGTTTGATTTTTTCATGGCTGCCTCTGGGGTTTTATCCCCTGAAAACACTAAAACTCAGTTAATAACAAAGTTATGAAACTGGCTGCTCTGCTCCCTAAAAAGCTCTCCAAAACTTAATTTGAGCAATCAAAGGAAGAACTCCATGTAGGGATTTTTATTATTATCAGTGGTGAACTCAAGATTTACTGACATACAGTGGTCTTGCTTGGCCTGGCCGGATGTTTATCAGGAGAATAAAATCCAGGAGTAAGAGGGTTGAATTAAATTAATGCTCTTTTTTCCTTCTGCTGTAATTCCCAAGATACAAAGCAGCGATAAATGAGTTGAAGGTTAAACATCTGTCCTTCTGAAGAACTATATATCTGAATTAATACAATTTCATTGCTCAATTGCAGAGAGTAGAACCGAAATTTTAAAGCTGATGAGTGCAGTGATCTGAGAAATAACTTGGAAAACAAGATTTCAAAGGACCCTTTCAGAAATGACGTATTCATTTTAGACATAAAAGCCTCCTTTCTCCTTCCTCCCTATTTGAGCTTTTAAGTTGGTTCATATGAAGTACCTCCTCTTCTCAAAGTTTATTAAAATGCTGAACCCAGACTATCTGCTCTGCTCGAATTCTATGCATTTAAAGCTGGGTCTGCTTTTTATTTCCCTCAGTCTAAATAGTCAGGTCTTATCTGGGGAAGGGGGGAAAGATGTTCTGGATATTACTGTCATTATTATTGCAATAACCACTCAGTTTTATCCTATACTAATATATATTATATTAAGATATGGACATTAAAAGCCTGCTGCTTTTGTTCTGTGCTTTACTTTTGTATTTTCCATTTTTTTCTAAATATTAAGAGAAGGAGGTGGAAGCTTCGACATTTTCCTTAATCTTGCTTTAATTCGGGTCGGAATTCTGAAAGTCAGGGAAAAGACCAGTTGACAAAGTGTTTCCACATTTCTGAAAGGGTCAGGAAATGTCACAAAGGCTGTTCCTGTTTCACAGACACGACCCAGGCTGCAAAGCCACAGCCTGAGCTCAGCTCCAACACTGAGATCGCTGACTCCTGGTGACCTGGAGTGGGCTGTGCTCCTGATATTTTAAAGGATTTTCCTCTATTTAAAATAATGATTTCAGAAGGAGCTTCTCTAACTGAACTCCCAAGAGCGGGTCTAGGTTTGAAATACATAAAAATCATTAATCTCTTATTTTAAAGAAAGCATCGGTCCTGCAAAAACCCCCTTGGAGCCCGAGCCAGAAAATCCGTGGATGGAGAAGGCTGCAGGAAACAGGTGCGGAGCAGCTTCCCGGCCACCAGGAAACGGGCTCGGGGGGGTCGGTAATGTCCGAAGCAGAGCCCCCCCTGTTCTGTGCCCGCTCCCGGAGCGCTTTCCCGAGGGCAGCCGCGCATCCTCAGCCCGGGGAGGATGCGCCCCTGGCTGGGTCTGGCTCTGCCTGCGGGGGCGGCTCCCCACGCCCCGGGGGGAGTGCGGGACAGGTATAAAACCGGGGCGGGGGAACACGCGGAGGGATGAAGAGTTTGGAGCGGGGAAGGAGGGAGGGGGAGCGGCGGGCGGAGCGCAGAGAGGAGGCGCATCCCGAACCCGGGCGGTGCCGCTTCCCAAGCGCAGGGGCTGAGCCGAGCCCGCTGGCCCGGAGCCCGAGGAGGGGAGGGAAGGAGGGAAGGAGGAGGTGCCGGCTCCCTGCCGTCCCCTCCGGCCGCGGATTTGGGGCGATGCTCGCGGCCGCGGCGCTGTGCGCGGCCGCGCTGGGCTGCGCGGCGGGGGCGCGGCTGCTCAGCGGTAAGAGGGGGTTTGCGGGGGTTTGCGGGGGAAGGGGGGGTTGCCCGGCGCTGGGATCGCCCCCCTGGCACGGAGAGGGAGCTCCGGCTCCCCTGGCGCTGGGAGGATCGGGATGCGCGGGAATGTCGCGACACGGGGAGGATGCAGGGGGATGCTGGGGGGAGGGTTGGGCTTGGTGGGCTTGGTCTGCAACTCCCTCGGGAGGGGAGGACGAGGGGCAGGACCTGAGTTCTGCTCTGTGGGGACCCTAGGGAATGGCCTGGAGTTTTGTCAGGGCAGGGTCAGGTTGGATCTCAGGCAAAGGTTCTTCCCCCAGAGGCTGGTTGGGCACTGCCCAGGCTCCCCAGGGCAGTGGGCACAGCCCCAAGGCTGCCAGAGCTCAAGAAACACTTGGATGATCCTCTCAGACACATGGTGTGACTCCTGGGGTGGTCCTGTGCAGGGATAACTGTTGGACTCAATGGTTCCTGTGGGTCCCTTCCAGCTCAGCCTGTTCTGGGATTCTGTCCCTTCCAACTTTTGTGACTCTGTGATTTTTCCCTGCCCTGCCCTGGGGAGCTCACTGAAGTCAGCAGACTTTGGGGCAGATCCCATCTAGGCAGTGAGGAGATAAGGGGAAAATACAAGGAACCCTTTCAGCACTGCCTACAGCTACACAGACAGCATGCCCTGTAACCCAAACCCTCTTTGGGATCCTAAAGAGCAGTAATCAGACGTCAACTACAGTAGATTTTTTCCTTAGCTGAAAGTAATGGCTGATGAGGCAGAGATTTTCTGCCAATAAGTGGAAAAAAATTGCATTTGTGTATCAGAAAGACCCTGAGTGCAGCTTGTGCCAGTATTTGTGGACAGTTAGTGAAGCTTTTTTAATAACAATGTGCTATCTGTGTTTTTCTCATGCCTTTCACAACAGCAGTGGACATATCCCTCAGAAGAGGTAAGGGGGCTTTGCCTGTCTCACCAAGCCTGGATGAGTGTAAAGTTCCCATGAGAAATACAGGTTATGCCAGAAATGTATTCTCTAATACTGCAGTTTTAGTAAAAAACTGTTCCTGTTGTAACTTCTGTGTAAAGTGTTAACAGACTGATTCTGACTAGTTAATTATTCAAAAATTCCACTATGAAAGATCTTTAAACTCTCACTCTTACAGTGCTCACGTAGGAATACAGAAGAATAAAGCAAAGCCAGCAAATAACCCACGGAGGGGTTTATAATGACCTGTCCTCTCATCCTGTTTGTTCTGAGCACGTTACAATTGTTGCTGAATGTTTTCCTTCTGTGCAGACACGTAGGTTAGCAGATTGTGTCTGCAGAGAAATATTTACTGAGTACAACAAAACTGTTTGTTTCCACAGTCTAAATATTGGGACTGTTGTGCTGAGGGACGCACCAGTGCCTGGATTCAGACGATGTGTCTGTTCACTTTGATCTCCCCTCGTAACCAAAATAAGCTTGTGCTGCTTCTGCATGAGAAAGTTCTTGGCCTCTGACAGCCTGAAGGCAGACACTGTTTCCTTCCTGGGCAGTCAGCAGCACCACCCAGAGCAGAGGGAACTGGGCTGGGGGAACACGTCTTGCTCACCACAGTAGAGACACTGAAAACTGAAAGAGTGAGTTTGGGTGGGAGAATGGGAAGGAATTCTTCCCTGGGAGGGTGGGGAGGCCCTGGCACAGGTTGCCCAGAGAAGCTGGGGCTGCCCCATCCCTGGAAGTGTCCAAGGCCAGGTTGGAGCAACCTGGGATAGTGGAAGGTGTCCCTGCCCGTGGCAGAGGGTGGAACTGGGTGAGCTTTCAGAACTTTTCCAACCCAAACCATTCCATGACTGCAACATAAACTCCATGGAACTATTACACACACCCTGAAAGATAAATCCTTGCTGTTTCTAATTGTATAAGGGAATCTCTGATTTTAGCTGCTTAGTTCCTTAAAAATAACAATAAATGTAAAAAATCCTCTTTGAACTCCTGCAAGGGAGCTTTGTTCTGAAAATGTTGCATATGTGAGCTTGCTGTCTGGCACAGCATTGCATCTCTGGGAGGAACTCCCAGGATCTGGAACTCACAGAAAAATCGTGAGGGAGCTGAGAAGAGCAGGACATGAAAGGACAGTGCTAAAAACTGTTTCAGGCAGTAAGAAGAGCTTGGAGGTGCCATTGCCAGGCCAGGAACACAAGAGGCTCTTTACCTGTCTACTTTTCCATAGAAACAGTGCAAAACTCATCCAGATGGAAGCATTAGCACTGAACTCTGGCCCTGCAGGCAGAGTTGCTGTGACAGGTCCCTCTCCCTCCCTGCAGGACAGACAGTTTGCCGCCGTGGGACGCAGAAACCCTGCTACAAAATCGTGTATTTCCACGATGCCTCCCGCAGAACCAGCTACGAGGAGGCTCAGCTGGCCTGCCAGGCTGACGGGGGACACCTGGTGAGCATCGAGAGTGCAGCAGAGCAGAGACTCATCGAAACCTTCATCAGGAGCCTCCTGGCTTCCGATGGGGATTTCTGGATAGGGCTCCGCAGGAAAAAGGAGGAGGAGGAGGAGAACAATAGTACAGAGTGCCAGAACTTCTACTCCTGGTCGGATGGCAGCTCAGCCAAGTTCAGGTGGGTGCCTGTGGGTGGCACTGGGAGGCAAAAGGGTCAGGGACTGTCACCTGCCTTCAGCAGTCACAAAGGATTCTGTCAAATGACCCAAGGAATATTGTCCCAGCTGCCATTTGTGATTCATCCCACCCAGATATAAAGTTACCATGCTCTGGAGACTCTCTGTTGCTCCAAATGACACCTAGAGTGTTTAGCTCGGGCTTATTGATGATTTTTGATTGCTAAAAGGAGGGGGAAGAACAAGTGATCTGGTCTTAAAAATCTGATTAGGCAGCTACAAAATATGTGCTTTGACCTGGAGGTTCCTGCACTTCAGATACCCTGGAGTTCATCCCTGAGCAATGGGCTCTTTCCCTTCTATTTGCTGAAGGAATGACTTTTTTTTTTCTTGTGAGACAATCAAATCTGAGAGCTGCAGGATTTTTTTGTAGACGTGAAAATTCAAGTTTTCACAACATCTGTGAGATTTCTGCCTCCCTGTCTTAAGGTGAGAGAAACCACAGCATTTCCTGAAATTTAAAATATCAAAGCAACAACATTTACACCAATCTGCACTCTTCTTCCTATGGGACATGGGTAAAAAACATCTTGCCAGTGACCTTTTTGCCTTGGGAGCTCATCAGATATTTTAGTTGCCCTGTGAAGAAATGAATAAAACTGCTTTTAGTGCTGTTGGGTGTATTAAAGTTTCTCCTGTGGCTCAGATATTGGGGGTGGATAATGGGAAGCTGGAACCAGATCTGCTGCTAAGAAACAGGCACAGCTTTATTGCCTTCCATTGGTGAGACACAGCTTATTTATGCTAAATGATAAAGCCAAGGAAAACACCAGGGGAGGAAGGAAGTGAGGGAGAAATACAGCATTGGAATGATTGAAAAAACACTGCTTTAACACACAGGGGTGTTTTCCCATGTGGAATACCTTGGGATAGCTGGAATTATCTCTATTGTACGGGCCAGTTTGGCAGGCAAAACATGGTTTGTTCCAAAATAGTGGGTATTGAGCACTTGTCAAAATCTAAACCCAGCTTAGACGAGTTCCTCTGAGCTGCAGAAGATGCCTCCTCAATACCAGTGGTGTTCCAGGGGGCTGAGCCTCCTTCCTGGGTGCTCTTGGAAAAGCCTGCACAGTTGTCTGGTGGTGAAGTTTATTATTAGAACAACAAAAAAAAAGAATTATCTGCAAGCCAGTGTTGGTGCATTTCCAGACAGAGAAAACCAGATCCCCCTTCAGCTTTTTCATTTCCTCATTAAAGAGGTGTTGAAATTTTGCGAGGCACCGAGGCCAGAGAGCAAAAAAAAAAACAACTGTGGTAGATGATTTTGCACAAAATGGTTTGGGAAAGTCAAATTTCTCCTGAGGGGTTTCAGGCAGGGAGGGGCTCAGCCCTTTGCTCCTGAATTTTTAACTCCCCAATTGCTGAGGTTTTTTTTCTTTGGAAAAATCAGAATTCCAAGAATAAACGACTGTATTCCCAGGGGAAGGGTGGGGTGGGAGGGTGTGCTGTGACCCTCTGGCTGTGCCCTCTGGGCCGTGTTCCCATCTGAGCTCCCGGGAAGTGATGTCAGGTGGCCCCTGTTGTGTTTTCCCAGGAACTGGTACGTGGATGAGCCATCCTGTGGGAGTGAGATCTGCGTTGTGATGTACCACCAGCCATCTGCCCCGCCAGGTGTCGGGGGGCCTTACATGTTTCAGTGGAACGACGACAGATGCAACATGAAAAATAACTTCATTTGCAAATATTCCCTCGGTAATGAGTCATTCTGGGGCTTTGAAACCCAACCCCCGGGAGGAGGCACGAGGAGGCTGCAGGGACACAGGGAAACCCTTCCTCAGCTTCACTGCTGGGAGATGGGTATCTCTGAATTTATGCAAGTGCTGGGGGAAGCAATCTCAGCGTTAATATCTGCAGCTCCTTGTGACTTGGGATAAATTTTCAGGGGGGTTTTTATGAAGTGTGAAGTGTTTGAGGTCTCAGCTGGGGCCTGAGGGAGAGAGAACACCAGAGAGGGGTGCTCATGGTGTTCAGTACACTGATCTTCCCACTCAGATTGTGCTTTTCTCTTTTTCTTACAGAGAAGCCAACAAATGCTCCAATAGGGAATCCTCAGAGAGGTGAGTTGGTGTTTGGGGCTCTTTTTCAATGATGTGTTAACTTTCAGAGGAAGCCCTGTGTTACAGTCATTCTCAGCAGGCTGAAAACACACTGAGCAAGAAACTCCTCTGCAGTTTGCACTTTTCCTTGTGCTATTCCATAACCCACTCTGTAGGAAAACAGCCCAGCTGCTGTCGATGCAGCTCATGGAAGCAGAAGAGGGCCAGCACCCTTTACCCATCTTTGCAGCTCTCAGTCTCTTCCATCCCCTCACCCTCACTTTTATGACTCTTAAGCTCTTTCAGAAAGCAAATCTGCAATATTAACTAAGCTCCTTCTTCCCAGATGTTGCCACAGAGCCCTCGAGCCCAGTGCTGCCAGGAGAACCCCGGAGGAGGGGTGTTAATGTGACAGCTGTGGGAGCCAGAGGTAGGTTGTGCACTCCCCCCCTGGCTGTGCAGATCCACATTTTTCACATTTGGCTGAAAACAGTTTCAAGTGTTTGACCCAAACTGTAGGAGACTATATATAGCCTGAAAAAAACCCCAAAACAAAACCCTTCCCTCAAATCTTCCCCTTCAGTACAAACCTCAACTGGCTGCTTTGGCCACCAAAATGTTCAAAATCTAAAGTGTTCTGGGTCTGAAAAAGGTACTTTTATTGAATCACTAATTCAGTGGCTAAATTGATTGTGTTTTGTTTCTAAGTGTATGTGATTAACTGTGAGAAACTTCCAATTTCTTCTTGCCACTGACTCCTTTTTACCCCTAGAACCTGTTCAGAGTCTTGCCTACATCCTTATTCCCAGCATTCCTGTGCTGCTGCTCCTGGTGGTCATTACAGGCATCTCCTGTTTTTGGCTTTTTGTGAAGAGGTAAGTGGCATTTTTATGTTAAAATCACCTGGCAGTAATCTCACAGCTGCTTTTGGCACCCTGTGAGGTGCTCTGCAGAGGACCTCTTGCAGCCAAAGAAATGTTTAAAAAGTGCAGTGGGTGCTCCAGGCTGAGTTGTTTTCAAGTAAAATCTTAAGTAAATCATGTTATAGTATATTAGTGTGTGTTCATAGACATAGCAGTCAGGGAACAGTGTAAACAAGATAATGATTTTCATGTGGTAGCACTTCATCTTTCTTATTCAAGATTTGAATCATCAATTTTGAATTATCAGATATTCTCCTTCGAAAGTGAAAAATGTGGAGATAAAAGGAGCAAATAATACTTGTTGATAAGTAATATTTCCTTGCTTTCCCTGTGTGCACAGTGGCTCTGCTGGGGGTGCTGGTTGTGGATTTGGGAACATCAGGGTGGGATTTTGCTGCTTCAGTATCGCCAAGGGGTCCCTCAGCAGGTCGTGCCAAGGGACTGTTCCAGCATGGAATGACAAATAATTCCCAATTTTATGCACAGCCCAGGCTCTGAGGGTCAGCTTTCCTCGAGGGTCAGCATTAAGTTACTGGAAGAGGTGTGGTATTGCTTTGTGCCATAATATGGTTTTTTGTTTTCCCCTCTTTCCCCAGGAGGGAGGAGCGGATGGACACGAGCCCCAAGGAGGAGGATGCCTGGCTGTCCAACAGCCCCAGCCTGGACATCTACAAAGTCATCAACAAGCAATCAGAGGCAGATCTGGCTGGGACCAGGCCTGGCACCAAGAATTCCTCCTTCCGGGCCCGGGAGCACTCGGAGCTGGGCAGGGACGGGCAGGAGGCAGCTCCCAAACCCCCCAGCAGCAGCTTTGGGACCGAGAGTGGCTTTGTCACCAACGACATCTACGAGCTCTGTGGGGACCGTGTGGGCAGGAGCCAGGAGTCCACCTGGGTGGACAATGAGATTTATGGATATTGAGCAAACAGACAGAAAAAAAACCCCACCCTGGAACTCAGATGACAAAGTGGATGCTGATACGAGTTTACCTGCCCTGTCTATGCACTTGTTTTAATAACAGTTATATGTGGTGTTTATCCTGGTTTTGCATTGTCCCCATATTCTTCTCTTTTTTTTTTTTTTTTGAAAGAATGTGGGTTTTTAATGATCCAGACTGAAAAGAATGTATATATTTTCCTTTCCATCAAGCCCCCTTTGCCCTGGGAACGGCTTGTTAATAATCTTGATTCACTTTTTTGTACCAAAGACATGCCTTGAAAAACTAGAGGACAATCCAAAATCCTTATTTATTTAACTGACCCAGTTGTCTTAAAGGTGCTAAAAGTTGCCTGTAAGGTGTGATGGAGCCCTGCTTTCCTGGACATGGCCAGTGGGGAGTGGGGAATGAATTCCTTGGTGTGCTTTGCTTGTGTGTGCAACTTTTACTTTACCTATTAAACTGCCTTTGTCTCAAACCACGAATTTTCTCACTTTTCCACTTCTTTCCCTCATCCTCCTGGGAGGGAGGGAGTGAGGGGAGACCAAGAACATAAAACATGTCAAGCAGGAACACAAATAGGACACACCTTTTGCCCTGCAGGTGTTTCTGGCTCCAGGAGAGAGCAACGTTTTGCTTCTGAACAAATCTCTGAAGCACCTAAAATGAATTTTTAGCTCTTGACAGGGTTCCCTTAAAAGCTTGCTCTCCTCCCTTGCATGGAAATAAATATACAGGAAAAGGAAGAAAAAACAATTTTCACAAGCCACCAGGAAACAAAGGTTTGGCAAAAGGTGTTTTATGTGTGTCTGAAACAACAACAGAACTGAGTGCAGGGGTAGCCACGAACCTGTTCTGCCAAAGTAAACGGGCAGGAAGAGGATTTTACTGCAAACACTGAAATATTTCAGTGCACAAGGGCTCTGTGCTGCACATCTGCAGTGTCACAGTGTCTGCCAAGCCCCTGCTGTTCCTCCGCCAGAACGTGGTGCAAGATGAAGCCCTGAAAGAAGTAATTCCTTTAAAAAAAAAAAATTAATCTTCGAAGTCTTTTGAAAATGGCATTGAGTTAGCAACAATTTCTCCTGAAAAGCAAAATCCTTATATAGGAGAATAGGCAGTGCTGGGCACTTGGAATGTCTGGAGTTTCCAATGCAGTAATTAGTGCTCTTTCATCAAGGAAAAAAATCTCTCTGTTTTGACTCTTACTCTCTGTTTTGACTCTTATATTCTTGGTCTCTTCCCTCGGTTTTTGTGGTTTGTAGGTTTGTTTTTTGGTTGGTTTTTTTTTTTTTTTGTGGGGGGGTTTTTTTTGTTGGGTTTTTTTGTTGGGTTTTTTTTTTTTTTTGCAGGCATTAAGCATCAGGCACATCCTGAGCATTTCAGGCGTTGCAAACCAGAAAATGAGAGGCAAACCTTGTCAGAGGTCGGGGATGAGGCGTCTGAGGCTGTATTTTGGTCTGGTCCCGGCTCCCTGAGCTCGGGCAGCGAGCTGCGTGTGCCCAGGTGAGGGGATTTTGGAAATTCTGCTGCTGGACGTCTCCTCTGGAGCTGCAGTGACCACACGAGGGCATGTGCGCTCCACGTTTGTCCTCCACGAGCTGCTCCATCCCGGGCTTTGCCAGGAGCGCTGGGATCCCTTTCCTTGGAGCACGGCAGGAGACATCAGTGGCCGCTAAAAGCAGCCGGACAAAGGATGGTTTTGTGACTGCAGGAGTGACCAGGAAGCAAATAAATGTTTTAATACTAAAGAATCCCGTTTATAATAAAGCCACTGTGAATGAATATCAGGCAATATTTGGCACAGTGGAGAAAAAGTTACTTTTAACGCACCAAGCTTGAGCCTGTAAAAAAAAAATGAAGCCCCTCCACAGCAGAGAAATGTCACAAGTGGCACTTTGGGATGACACCACTTTCTATTCAAGTAGGATTATGGAAAGCTTGCTCATGTACCTATCAATCACTTAAAAGGGTGGATGTCTGACTAACTCAAGTCATCAGTTAGTCATTGCCAGAACTTCTGAAGGGGATAAATAGAACAGTGAGAGCACTCTGGTTGTTCTCCATGGCAGCCCAAGTCAGCAGCATCATCTCCAAATGTCATTCCTTAGAGAATCTCAGGAACAGGGAAGGACAGGCATTAATTTTTGCACAGAGAACTTCAGCTCCCTTTGCAGAACAGTCATCACTCTCTGACACGTAACAAATTTAACCAACTTTTCACAAGTATGACACAGCTTTAGGTGTAGAACTTGTACAAAAAAGGGAAAGCAAGAGGCACAAGTTTGTTCCTTGGATTCTTCCACTTGTTCTTTTCATGGCCACGCTCTGTTTTGAGCTGGGTTTGCATCAGAAAAGGTCTGTGGTTGTGTTGCTGATCCAAAAGACATGAGGCCTCTTGTTTGGATGTGCCTTGTTTGGTCAGTGGAACCGAGCAAAGATTCCAGGGGTGATTCCTGGTACCCAAAGTGAATCCTCCAGCATGAGATGGGGTAGAGGATAAGAGTGGTCAGAGAGGGACAGGCATGAACTGGGAGAACAAAAATTACTGCAGAGTTGAAATGGCATTTTTGGAATGAAAGCAAGCTAAGACAAATCAGACCTGGTGGACTTAGTACTGGAAAGGGAACTTAGCATGAAAGGCCTTAACTTTTTTCACACGTTGTTAACCCTGAAGGTCCTCTAACCATTTCATGTCAAAGGGCCTAACAGAGCTTCCCAATCTGTCTTTCCAGGTGTGCAGGAAATAAATACAACAATAGTTTAGTTATAGAAGGGACCTGCAAAATTTATCTAGTCCAACTGCCTGACCACTAGAGGGAAAATCAAAAGTTAAAGTGTGTCATTAGGGCATGATTCAAGTGCCTGTCAGACACTGACAGGCCTGGGGCATTGACCCACTCTCCAGGAAGCCTGTTCAGTGTTTGACCACCCTCTTGGTAAAGAAATGCTTCCCAATATCCAGTTTGAACCTCCCCTGATGCAGCTTTGAGCCCTTCCCACGAGTCCTGTCATTGGATTGCAGGGAGAAGAGCTCAGCACCTCCGTCTCCACATCCCCTCCAGAGAGCCAGGAGGTTGTCCCTCAGCCTCCTTCTCTCCAAGCTGGATGAAGGCAGAGGCCCCAGCTGCCCCTCACAGGACATCCCTCCTCCTGCAGCCCCATCAGCAGCTCCATTAACCTCCTCTGGATGCACCCAAGCACCTTCTGAAATGGTGGGGCCCAGAGCTGCACCCAGCACTCAGTACTGTGTGATCTGACTGGGATTTGGGGGGGCTGATGTACCAACAAGAGGCATCTTTGTGATCTGGAATAACTGGAGCCACTGGAAAAGCTGCTCAGTGTCAGGGAGAGAGGATTTGTGTCAGGAAACTGCCTTAAGGACCCTCAAAGTCTGATGCAGGTGCAGCAGCTCAGGGTCTCAGTGCATGGAGCCCCTGGTTTAGGGCTGCAGAGACACCTGGGACTGACCCATTCCCCCTGATCCTGCTAACGAGCTGGGCCTGCTGGGATCTCATTAATGGGATAATGGGATCTTATTAATGCAGGGGGTGGGTTTGACCCCCCTCCCCTCCTACAGCCACACTGTGGGGCACCTACGGAGCTGGGAGAGCAGGAGGAGATGCCCACACCAAGCCGTGGGGGCAGCCTGGGGGACCCATCGACCCTCAGCATCACTGCCCCATCCCCATATCTACCTCCATCCCTGTCCCCAT